ATAGTACCTTGACGTCACAACTTTCAGGGTTTTGTCCGTTTATACTAGGTCACTGCGTCTTTTCAAAGTCACTTTTAACGCTGGTGCACGTTGAAAGGGACAAGTGCGAGTACAGATAGAGAAAAGAGTCAGAATTTCAAACAACATCTCCAGTCTTTGCATCAGATTCATTTGGCGTTCTTTTTTTCAAATTTAGCATGAGGATTGTAGAACATTTTAGAAAAATAAGTAGCTGTATAGTGTCAAAAATGTGACCGTTCCGAATTTTCCGCAGCAGCAAGGGCCCAATCGTCCCCGGAGAGAGCGATCGCACGGCGAAAACGTTAGTTGTATTTTGAACAGCGACTATGGGGAATAATTTTGGCACTCAATCCTGGACTTTATTCGCACTAACAATCTCATAAACTTTATCAACAAAAGCTCTGCAAGCAAAGAGGTATGGATGTCTAATGCAGTAAAAAACTGAATGCTTGAGCAGGATAAAATTGTCGTAGCAACATAAACTATATCCACACTCCGATGCCTCATTCCGCTAGGAAGATTTTGGCTTTGATGTTATCCTACATGCGTTTTCTCCGCCAAACGCTCATACTCAGACAGTCGAAGGGATACCTCCGGCGGGCAAATGCCGCGAGTCTGTCACTTCGCGCTCTGGAGCGCTCCGGAGCCCTGCCATTTCACCCATTTTGGTGCTCCGGGGCTCTCCCAAATCTGGCGCACCTCCGAAGCAGAGATTTGCGCGTCCCGGAGAGGGGTCCCATTAGTTCACCGTGACGTCACAAGCAGGCGAATGGGACCCCTCTCCGGGACGCGCGGATCTCTGTTCCATATATTCTGATCTCTGTTCCATATATAACGACCATATATTCGAACTCTTTGTATGCGTTTTTGAAGTACTACATTTTTTACTTTTCCAATAAATTTGTTGCAAACTCTATATTCTCACTGCGTATTTTGCGCGTGGTCAACATTGATCACTGCTTATCTGAATGTATCACTTGCTACATCCTCCTTCTCCCACTCTGACTAGAAATACGAAGTGAACTTCTATTAGGTTGTTAATCAAGTTTTGCGACTGTGTTCGTACCTTTTCGTTTATTAACAGTGGCACGCTCACTTCTTGGAATTGTAAGAGTGCCGCGTGAGCTACAAACTGGCATAAACTTCTCTCCTTCTAATGGCAAAATAGAAAAACCCAAAGATTCGAAAACTAGGAAAATTCATGGGTTTGTGGGAGTTACAAGTAAAAATGAAGCGTTATCAACCCATATCATGCACAATGATCCGAAATTGTACATGAATTGTTGCGGTCGGCTTACTTATCTTAATAAAAAAAGGAAATTTGAAGTCAACTCGATGGCACCTCACAAAGTTGAAGAGGCCGCGGTACGCAAGGCTGCTTTAGGACTAGCGTCAACGGCTAGGCAGTCGGAATCTCAGAATTTGAGGCTTTGTATAGTGTGGTTATTTTACCTGACAAACACGGTATCATATTCATTTGTTGAAACATTGTCTATTTTCGTATTTAGGATGAGCCCCTATAAGGTAAACATTTGGTAATCTACAAAATCCCCTACTGCATACAGTATCGTTTTCGCGATCAGCATATGAGGTAACCCCTTATGCCAATTTTCAGGGGAGGCGTGCAAGTGGTACCCAGGCAGCCGACTGCTGCCGCAGCCAGCCGCCGGAGCTGGCGTCAGTGCAGCCGCATATGGTAGAATAATTACGCTAGCCGTCTGATACCTCTCCGCCGAAAGGTTTCCTCGCACCTCGTCGCGTTGAGGTGCGATATCAGCCTCAGGGATAGCGCGATATTATCAATAATGATAGCAATATCTATATCACTTTAATCAGCAAAAAATTCCTGGTTTATTGATAAAATGAAAATGAACAAATTTACACAGAGTAAAGTTTTCTAGAGGAAAATGGTTCAAAAATTCATTCTTAAAATGACCAGAAGGTGAAATAATTCAAAAATTAAAAAGTGTTTAACTATCAAAAAACTAAACTTTTTTAAAATTCAAAACCGGAGGAGGACGGATTGTCCAAAGTGAGAAGAAAGGTTTGTTCAAGTAAGGCTTTAAAGACTTAGTGATGATAAAAAAGCTGATAAGCCAAAGTAGGTCAAATGACTGAGCCGAAGCGTGTCAAAAATTGAGTAGGTTACTGATGCCGATATAAAAGACAATTAGGTCATCAATAATCAAAATTCTGATCTATACAGCCCGAGCGTATGGGAACGTTAAAAATTCATCGCTTCTTCTCATACTCCATGATTTGGCTTTATTAAGGGCATCTATAGAACTTTGAAAAAATTAATATTCTAGAATTCGTTGCCTCTGCCCTTTCAGTTGTACACTTCAACTATTGAAGTTCCCCGTGGGAACTTGAGGTAAGTGAACAAGGTGTTCACCCGGTCATCGTGTATGATAGAAGACAAGATCCATGTCTTTTAAGTCACAACTGCTTACCTTTAGATAGACATAAGGACAAAGCTAACCGTGTAGCTTATGAGGTTTCCGGATTTTTTTGCTTGTCTATACTTCTATTTTTGAGCAATTTTTAGAACTGTCAAAACACAAAAAACGATCCAAAATTGAAAAGATCGAAAGATCGATTAGTAATGCATTATGATGTTCAACTTTGTGACAAAAAAAACTATTTAATTTCATTTATTCACTTTTGTAATTGTAATTGTCTGCCGGTTGGAGGTTTGCCGCTTGTATATAGTTTTGTAAATGTTTGCATGGTTCTCAGTAAAGTAGGAATTTTTTGCTGTTTAAAATGACATAGATATATAAGATCGATATTATCGCGCTGTCCCTGAGGCTGATATCGCAGCTCAGCGCGACAAGGTGCGAAGAAATCTCTCGGCGGAGAATTTCAGACGGCTGCGTAATTGTCCTACCATACGCGGCCGCGCTGACGCCAGCCCTGGCGGCTGGCTGCGTCAGCAGTCGGCTGCCCGGGTACCACTTGCTACGCACCCAATTTTCAGCCAGATTGTAATGATCCAGAATTTTTGACCTTTTACCATATACTTACCGTAACAGGGGACGAGTGGCGTAGTGGTATGAGGCGCTACTATGACCAGATCGGAACACAGGTTCGATCCCCGCCCCTGGGCCAACCAAGCCCTCTATCCTCCGGGGCCGGTAAATTGCTACCAGAGTAATCTGGGAGGATAAAAGCACTGACTTGGAAACGGCTCGCCCCCGCAAGTCACTGTAATAGGCTCGCACGCATACAATCGCCTCTTCGACTATGAAGTTAGTGTCTGCGTTCGGCGCATGCCCCCAGAGGGTATTGAAGACGCCGAATCCTTTATCCTTTATCTTTTACTTACCGTAACCCTCACTGCAACGTTTCAATCTGGCAAAATTCTAGTTCGCTTGTAGCTTCCCTCAAAGCTTAAATAATGGCAAATTTGGATTGTTCTACATACAAAGAGGAAAAAGCTATAAAAGCAATTGAAGAACTTAGTTAATAAGTTCACTATTACGCAGCCTTGTTTTTCATTATTTCCTCCTACCGCTTAGTAGCTGTTTTTCGTAGAGGTCTTCTCGGAGATATGTGGGTGATTACAAATTGGGTCTTACACTTAGTTCTCACTGCGAGTGTGCTGAATTCGCGTTGTTACTTTACATGTGCATCTCAATATCCAACCGCCTATCAGATCGCCCTTGCTCCATCCGAATTCCATAACAGGAATTCATCTCTTACCACCCTACGTTACAGTTACATTGCCCACACTCTGAAACTTCTATCGCAGTGCAGAGACTCGGTGCAATTGAAAAAATAAAACGTCTATTGAGCAGCTGTCAGTCCTGAAATCTACTTGCTGAGTTAGCGCCCGATTTCAGGCTTTCTAGAGTAATTATATGAATTAATTTTACATAAAATTTTTCAGTAAATTTTCATTTTTTCAGTAATTTATATTACTATATCTGTAATCTTCACTTGCATACCGTGCGCACTAGTTTTGAAATTTTATGGAAAAAATGGAGAGATCTTTTGGCTAATGGCTATCGATAACCCAAAAGGTCATAATATTTGTACTCGGCATGGACGCCCACTCCTGCATACCAACTTCCATTTTTCTAGCTCAGATATCCAAGACAATAATGATCCGGTAGAAAAGTCATTGATTTTGACCGCATCTGTTCGTAATCAGCATACTCGATCATCTCTCAATTAAGTTTAGCCTTTAGGGAAGAAATCAACAAAACAAGTAAACGTAAGTTAAAATAGCCACTACCGCCAAAGTGTATGGACAAAGTTTGCTCCCGATCGCTCCAAAACGGATGTTTTATTCAGAACATACTTATAGCTGCAGTGGCTTATCATCATCGTTATCCATGAGCTTTTCCGGGAAACTGTCGTATCTGAGTGACCAAGGAATGTCAAAGTTCCTTCGTTTGCGCAACTATAACCAAGTCTCAATACTGTTCACATTGATTTGATGACCCTCTGTCATCCTTCATGCTATGCTAATATTTTTTGTAGTTTCAAACATTCTACTGCATCGATGCTTATCATTGCTAACACCCTACCACATATGAGAGTAACCTTAAACTGATTCTAATCGGAAACTATTTTTTAACGTCTATCGAAAATGAACCCACCGATTATTCGCAAAGTTCTAATCCATTTGGTCCTCTTATCACACACGTTGTCTTCTTAAGTGTCTTTCCTCCCTTTATCTTTGGCTAATGATAAGGCTTCTAAAAGTACTTCCTCTTTCTTCAAAGTGATATCGTCAGTGTTCCTGACTTTTATTCAGCCATTAGCACTGTTCCTTGTAGATTCTTTTTTGGAACTTTATGCATATTTATGCACTTGCTGAGCGACTTAAATCTTTGCGATTTCTTTCTTAGTAAATTCTATTCCATCTTCGACCAGTGTTTTCAAAATTCTTTTTTAAAATTGTTGATTTGATTGCAGAGGTCGATGTCGAATGCTTGTACAACAATGATTTCATATTTTAAATGTTTTTATTAAAATCTTGCTAAAAGGCTTTGTGCAAATGTGGTATCCTCGTCCGGAATCTTGTTTCCATGTCCAATATACAGGTTCACTGATTGTAAGTTTGAACTAATTGCCGACGAATCATCCAGAGCATCCTTCACCGAAGCTTTTCCAGTTTTTGCAACCTGAATCTGAGCTGAATATAAATACAAGGAAAGATAATTTTTTTGATACCTTGATTCCGGACCGGAGCAACGATAGTGCTACGAGAGAAAAGAGAACCCAGTTCGAATTCTCTGAAAATATCTGTAACAGGGTCGTTGATATTGTCAGCAATGAGAAGCACCACTATTAACAGTTTGTGCGAAGCGAACAAGAGGTCATATGGTTATAAATCATTAGAAAAACAATGGCTATGTTCACCAGCTTTCAGCTTAAGATTAGCGACTTCAGATCATTGCCGCCTACTAGCACTATATTAAGAAAATGAATGTGCAGATGGTCGTGAGCTATGTAAAGATGCATGAACGGCTTCCTACCTCGTAAATATTCGAAAAATAACTTGTTGCGCGAATAGTTAATGTCATATTTATTGCGGGGAATTTCTGCCACGCTTCTCTCAACAAAAAATATCAGTCCGCACACAGGAACGCTTCCGTCACGTCCCACAACGGGACCCTATGCAAAGTTCTCGTTTCTCATTAGAATAGGGTGGTTAATAAAGAGAGAAGCTTTGTAGAATCACATCGGCATTCGCGGGTGATATATGCGACGTAACGATTTGGCAGGTCGTGCGCAACCGCACATAGACAATCTCAGCGCGTAAATACATTTTTTGATCGCAAGCAATTGATACTAAGCAATTACAATATGTCATTAACAGCAGGTCTCAGGGGACGTTAATAGGAAAACCTATACTTAACGCTTACTGTCAGCTAAAAAACCAACAAATAAACTTTTTTATGCATGATCTTGTACAGCGGAATGGTTCGCCAAGAACCAAGTATCTAAAATGCAAATGCTCAAAGCCCGGGAAAACTTGCTATGGTCATCATATATGCGAATAATATGAAAGAGAGTGACGGCTCGGAATGTAGCAAAGTGTGATGGCAAATAATAGTTTGACTAGAGTCATGGCCGTTTCTGCGGTGCTACTAGTGCACTAATTCGAATATGAGTGATAACAGTTTGCGAAGAGACGGGTCAGTCCTAGAACACGATCGAGAATGAGTAGTACACCGTCCTCCGCCATTTTAAGTTCGCAGCTGCCCTGCAGCCGCCTCTTCTAGCACTATTTTGGGAATGGGAAATTCGAATGAGCATTCATACAGTTGGTCTACGCATCTGCAGATTTGCAGACGCGAGTAAACGTATTTGCAGCGCCTAAACGTGCTTGGGTGCCAACGCAATTTCTCCTTCTCGCTTTTATCTTTCGTATCATTTTGTTATGGATTTGCAGCGTTTTGAGCTATTTCGGCTAATAAATCCTCGTGACAGAGTGCACGCAGTTCGTCTATCATTGAAATCGGAACAGATTCGATACTGTGCTTGACCTGATGCTGTACTATTGTAATGCTGTTATGGCATTTTTGATGTGTGGGAGAGGCTTCGTAAATAGAAATCTCATTTTGTTTCGCGTTTTATAATCTCAAAGCTGATACTTTCACATTGCAGATTGCAGTAGTTTAGCTATTTTTAGACATGTTCTGCTGCACTGTTCTTTACTGCTACACACTTATCCATCCTGCAACGCTTTGAAAACACTTAGAAATTTATCTTATCTGTGGTAAGAGAAAGAGAGATTTTAAGAAATTGGCATTGTTTTTCTTGCCATAAGCGCAATTGCGCATCCAACACTTAGGTTTTCCTCAAAGGCACCGTCACCCAGATTCTCAACTCGGCATGTTTTTGTCGTTCCGAGGCATTCTCAAGTCCCTGATTCTGAATATCAAGCCGAAAACCCGCGAAAACCCCGACAAACCCCTGGAGAACCCGCACGGCGAGTTGTGTGGAACGATTGGTAAGGTGCGCTCAAATGGGCGGGCGAACCTTACGCCCACTTAAAGGAGAGCAGTCAGTCGAATCCGTCATCCAACGCGAAATTTGAAGCCCCATTTTCTCGCTTAAGAAGCAACTTCTGGCGGCTTGAGTTGGGCAAGTATACAGCTGGAGGCCACACTACTGTTAGACATCGAAATCTCATCGACCACATTTTGGGTGGACTGTTCCTTTAAGCTTTTGATTATGTCTTTTCGCGGCAAGCTGCTATACCAGGAGACAGAAGGCAGTAGTTACGGTCAACTAAGATAACTTAGGTAAAGTCTATTTACGTTTTTGGATTGCCTAAGGTTGATAAGGTTTTTTGACACACACACACATAGCGTTGCTGCAGGCAATGGCCCGTAGTAAAGCTCGATCAGTTGAGGTGAACTCAACTTATCCCATCAGTTCACCTTAGGTGAGGTGAACTGATCACCGTCCACGTTCGTATGCTATAAGATGGTCAAGTCAACTGATAGTTGACCATCTGTCCACCTGCCGCAGTCAACTCTTCCACATCAGTTCACGTTCAAGTCACCTCAACGTGAACGGATGTTAGAGTGATCCAAATAGTGTGTAGAAGAGGAGACGCAGACAAGGGGTGACTACATCTAACATAAGTTGCTCCTGAGTAACTTACGATACACACAACTTTGCCAAAAAATGCAGAAAAAATCGGCGCAAAACTGCACAATACCGGCGCCCGAAAAGGGAAGGATCGATGAACAGCTGATTTTGGCGACAAAAGCAAGGATAAAAGTTTTCTTCTTTTTTTTGCAGAGCAATCTTAGTTTCTTGTAAAAACTACTTTAGAAGAGAATCTACTTATTTATTACGTTTCATTTATGTTCCAAAAATTTCAGTTTTCAATGAATTCTCCGTCAAAATATGTCAGTTTTGTTTTATCTGTCCATTTGCTAAGTGATATCCTTGTTAGCGGTCATCATCGATTTTTTTCGACAGTGGCCGCTATCGAAGATTGTCCGGCGATGCAGCAAAAGTTTTGGCGCTAGCCGGTGTCGAACCACGACCGCGCGCGTGTGATTCCAATCGCTTATCCGTTTGACCAGACCAGCTCAAGTGGTTGGTTTTTTGAGAAAACATGTGGTTATCATGTCTAGGAAGCGATCCACATCCAAATCAATAGCTCACTGGATGCTGGACTGAAGCGCGATGACCTCAACTCCGGTCCGCGTCGAGAGAGATGCCCGGATGGGGGGGTTTACTACGGGCCGATATCTATCAAGGTGAACGGTGAAAAATGGGACAGCTCGATTTTTATTACTACATTTTGGAGTTTTTTGTTTCGATCAACAGGTAGGCTGCTACTCAAACGTCGCTTACATGAACGACAATTGCCAAATATTCTAGCAACCCTACGCGTAGCGTCGTGAAGAGCTCAAATAGGATTTCTGAACATCTCTCAATCTTGCGCTGCTATACCGTAAAGTTATGAAGCGAGTCACAGACCATTCGAAAAAGCTCTTCATGCTCTTTCAAAAGGTTCATTGAACATACAGGTCTCTCTTTTATTTCCAGATAAAATAAAAGGATGAAAAATTGCGAGTTTTTGGCGCAATAAAACCCAAAAAGTCATATTTCAATCTATAATCTCCAAAGATAAGAAAAATTGAGGTAAACGCATAGGATGGATAGAAGCGTAAAGAGCTCTATCAAATGTTGGCGAGAAATGGCGCGGTCACTTGCAAAGAAGTAAATAACACGTATATATCTTCATTCTCAAAACTGCTAATGACCATATTTCCTGACTTCAAGAGTTGCGACCAGCAAGCCATAGTGGCCATAGTGGGTCCGGTGACTGTATCTCCACCCACTGCAGCAGTGGTAGATACTTTGGATGGTTTCGCATGCTTCACTGCGCAGATACTGCTAGAGATCATAATTAGTCGGAGTGTTTTATTAGGTCGTTCCATAAGTTCCTAGCGTTTTTATTTTCGTACTCATATCTTTGAAGAGCGGTTGATTTGCGGCGGAATGCATATATCGTTTGGAAGGGCTGATTGTGCTCTTTGAAATACATCTACTGATTTCGATGGAAAGCTGATTCACTCGGAACCCGCAGCTTCCAAAGATGGAAATCTTGAAAGGAAAAAGGAGTTTCGGCATTTGCGCCTTTTTCGTTATGAAAAGAAGCGTTTTTGCACAGATTTTTGTGTAGATTATCTAACGTGGCGTTTGTTCATCAATATAAGACAAAAAAGAATTGGATTGATACAAAAGAGCAGAAGCTGAGCAGGATGTCCCTGAACAAGACTTTTCGCGGGACGGGCAGGACGTCCTGCACTGAAAATTGCTGGACAAGTAGGCGACGGTCAACCACACCGAAAGCAATCCAACTGCACGGTTTAAAGCAGGTCCTACCGCAGAAAAAGCCTAACAGACAAATCCAGTGAGTTTTTCTACATGACGAAATGTGGCCTCATAAGGCAAACGTCGTCAAAACTCTCCTGCACGATTCGACTGCAAGGTACTTCAGTACCCAAAAGACTCTCCAAACCTCGCCGTACCAGATTATCATTTGCTCCGCTCTCTGGCAAACCTCATGAATTGTGCATGTCTGGATTTCAGCAAGCAATTTGAGCGCTGGTTAGATGACTTTCTTGGGACCCGGCGCGCTGCCATTTGAAAAATTGAGGTTGAGAAGCTAACAAGAATGTGCCACAAGGTTCTGCGCTACAACCAGGAATATAATTTTGAGTGATTTTTACTGTAAACTGATGATTTTGTTGGTTTATAAAAACGCTACGAACTTATGGAACGACCTAATATTTTGCATTTCAGCAAGTATGAAAGTTATTACTATGTAAATGACCTATATAGGTACTCAAAAAAGAATAATATATTCTGATATCTATCGAAATCAAAAATTTCAATCATTTCTCTTTCTTGAGAAATCTACATTTATTCACTTTGCTCACAAGGCATCCCATCTTACCGTTCACCTTAATATTTCTACACTGCCTCAAATGTTTTATGCCGTGACGCAGTCAAACAATTGGGAAAGTTAATACTTTTGCGATGACGCTAAACTGTTGTATAAGGACTACCTGCAAAACACTCCGCTCGCTGATGTCAATAATATTTTCGTAATCACCATAACCACTTACCCGCTTGTGCCAACTCCCAGCCTCATAGATGAGTGAGACTTTGCAGGAAAAGCAATAAAATTGACAACGATTAATGACGAAACGTTAAAATACAAAATATCTTATCATAAGCTGGCGGATAACTTCCTCCAGATTACAATAGGTTCAGTTCTCATGATCGAGGCAAATTGAAGGATTGTAAGGCTACCTATCGTTATGTTCTTGTCGTCAATCGTACGCACACTCTTTTCATGAATGAAAGTCCATTTTGTCCTTTATTATCAATGGAATAACATTTTTCCTGTCGATGAGTGGCAGGCCGGACGAAGTGGTAGTTAAGATTTGTATAGACTGCAGTGTCTGGCGAATTTGGAGGCATAGTACAGTCTGCCCCAGTCGGGATCAGGCCGAACCGCCGGCTAAATTTGTGCGCCCGCAAC